TCTTATTCCTCATTCATGCTTGTTATGACAATTCAATTCAAGAAATATTTTCGTGCCAGACACAGTAATAGATACTGAGAGGCAGAGATAATAAGAAACAGTTCCTTCAGCACCTACAATAGTTTGGTTTCTAGTAATTCTTTATGTATCTCTTCCTTAACTTTCTCTTTACTACTTCTTTCCCTAGGTGAATAAAATTGAAAATAAAATCTAAGTTTTAGGGTGAGGCTTTATGAACTTCTTATATCTCTGTCATAAAGATTCCCCTCATTTTTCTAGGCAGAAAGGGTATGTGTTATGTGGTCTGACTTTTGTTTTTCCCCAAAATCCATATGTTGAAATCCTAACACTCGAGGTGATGGTATTGCGGGGAGGGCTTTTGGGAGATGATTAGGGTGTGAGGGTGGAGACCTGATGAATGCAATTAGTGTCCATATACAAGAGCTTGGAGGAAGCACTTCACCCCTTCTATCGTGTGAGGACTCTGTGAGAAGGTGCCCTCTATGAACCAGGAGGTAGGCTCTCACCAGACACCACAACTGCTGGCACCTACATCCTGGACTTTCCAGACTCTGGAACTGTGAGGAATAAATTTCTGTTGTTCATAAGCCACCCAGTTTATGGGATTTTTTTTTTGTTGTTGTTGTTATAGCAAATGGATGAAGACAGTATGGGATCCTCATTTCTTGTCTTCCCTCCCAAAGAGAGATTGACCTGATTGGAAAGATCAAGAGAAGGAAGAGGGCATGCTGGGCTCAGCTTGCTTCTCTCTACCAAGCCCATCATGTTGCTCTCCAAATCCCGTGCCTCCTCTAGGAAGGCAAGGAAATGGCACCAATATCCACCCACTTGCCCAGGTCCCAGACCTAATTGTGTCCCCGATTCCGCTCTCTTCCTCATTCACTACTTTGAATTATATGTAAATTGTGTCATCTCTTTCTCCAAAAAGACATCCCACATCCGTCCACCTCCCTCCACCTTCACTTTCCCCTGGTCCAAGGACTTTCTTGCCATCATCTCTCACCTAGACCACTGCCGTTAACTCCACTCTTGTCTCCTGCAATCCTTTACACAGCAGTCAGGATGATACTGTTCAAACATAAATCAGATTACAATACCCTGTTGCTCAAAATGGCAATGGCTTTTCATTGCACAGAATAAAATCCAAATTCCTAACCACGGATAAGGCTGTTTGTAATTTTGCTTCTGGCCACATCTCCTACCTCTTTTCCTTCTTGTCTTCCCCTGCTCACCCTTAATATTCTTTGAATACTTCTTAAATGGCAAGATGATTTTGTCTCAGGCTCTTTGTATTTTCTGTTGCTTCTGCTAAAATGCGTCTAACCATCTCTTCTCCTGAAAACTTGGCATGGCTCATCCCCTCTCTACATCTGGGCTTCTGTAGAAATGTGACTTCCTGAGTATGGCCTTCCCTGACTCCATCTAACAGTGAACCTTTCTCCCTACTCCTACCTCTGTCATTCTCTAACCCTTCTTATCCTGTGTAGTTTATATTTGTAGCAGCATCTTACATGTTTAATGGACTGTGTCTGTCTCCTTCGTTAGATATATGCACCATGAGTTTTGTTCACAGTCTTAGTGCCTGGAGCAGCGAGCCACATAGTAGATCTCAATACATATTCCTTGAATGAAAGGAAGAACCAAGCACATGCAGCTCCATTCCTTTCCCCCTGCCCATTTCCTTTTTCAGAACGTCCTATTCTCAGAATGCACGCAAGCTTCACTCCTATACGGGTAAGCTGACAGGTAGTCAGCTTATTATTATTATCTTATTATTAGTTATCTTTTTCCTGTCATGTTCTACCAGGGAGCAAATAGTCATGTGCTAGGTCTCAACTTAAATGTGAACTCTTTAGGGGTGTCTTCCTTGGCTACTGTATCCAAAGGAGATCACCTTCAATGAAGTTGTTCTCTTTCAGCATCCTTTGGTTTCTTTCTTCATAGGGTTTATCTTTTATTTACTTCTTACTCTAGCCCCTGCTACAATTGCAGAACTTCCTTGGGCCAAGAGCCTTGCCAGACTCTTGGAGATATGACATAGTCACTGTACGCAAATAGCCTTCACTCTAGTTGGAAAGCTGAGGAAGCAGAACAGACAGACATCGTTCTGTCTGCCACGGAATCCTAAACTGTAGAATACGAGGCTGGGGATGTTTGTTGGGGTTGTTACTTATACCAGCGAGGCTAAATTCACTTGCAATGGAAAGACATGACCCTTCCAAAGACTTACTATGTAATCTGTTTCCTTACCTATAGTATAAAGATACCAGTAACACCCACCCTTTCAGAATAAGGGTGAAATGAAACTGTATCTACCTATAAAGTGCTGTCAAGATGTAAGATACGTGCTAACTTACAATGCTTGGTGTTGAAAACCAAAAATGCTTGCAACTTCAAACCTAAGACCATTTGATTCCTCCCCTTTCTGTTACTGGCGCTGATAGCTTGGTATGTACTGCAGCAGATTCTCATGGCTGTAAGCCACTTGGTTATGAGGGCAAGTGGTGCACAGGTTTTTTTCTTTCCTTTCCCACCAGCACTTGTCCCGTAGCTTGCCCTGGCATGTTGGACAGCTGGCCCAACTGTGTCCCTTGGCAGAGCCAGATGTCCCAGGCAGAGCCAATAGAACAACAGGACTGAGACCCAATATGGTGCATGCTGTTCTGGAGAGCACACAGATTGATCAAATCCAGCAAATTACCCAACCTGGATGCAAGATTTTCCAGAAAAATGATTGGAGAGGTCAGGGAGCATTGTTAGGCAATTCAGCATCTAAATGGTCGCATCAGTGAGAACTCTAGTCAGATAGAAATTAAGTTTTCATTCCAGTTTGACAAATACTTTGTGTGTGCTCCAGGCCGGGCCCTCTTGTAAGAACTGGAGTACAGTAAAGAAAAGAGGCTCAAATCCTGTCATTAAGGACCATACATTCTAGCAGAGGGGAGATGGACGGTAAGCATGATGAGTAAGTTAGGTGGCCATGATGCAATTTTAAATAGAGCAGGCAAGCAAAGTGAGGCCTGAGCAAAGAGTAGAGGAAGATGAGCAAGTCATGTGTGAGTCTAGGTGAAATGCATTCCAGGCCAAGGGCAGCAGCGCGCCCTGCAGGTGCGTGGGGCAACAAAGAGACTGGCATGGCTGGAGGAGACTGGGCAAGGGGCCGAGCAGCAGGGCAAAAACAGGCTCCAGGTACTGCAGGGTTGTCTCATAGGTGATCTTGAGATTGAGCTTTTACCCCTGTGAAATGGGGAACCACTTGAGGGTTTTGATCAGAAGAGTGGCCTGACATATTTAAAAGAAACTGGATTATGGAGGAGGAGTCACTCATGGACAGAAAGACCAATAATCCAGGTGAAAGATGATGCTGGGCTGGGCCTGGATGGGAGCAGCAGAGCTGGTGAGAAGTAGACAGGTCTAGACGTGTTTGAAACACAGAGCCAACGGATCTTCTTAAAATGATTGTTGACGAATCAAACTGAGTTAATGTGCTTAAGAATACTGTCTCTTTCTGTGAGTCTGTAAATGTTTCAGTGTATTATCTCATGTGATCCTTACAACAATGTTGCAATGTGGGAGGGATGAGCAGCCCCATTCCCAGCACAGAGAGGTGAACTGATTCTCCCAGCGCCACACAGCCTGGAAATCGGCTGAACTGGGGCACTCAGCGCCTCAGTCCCCTGACACCTTTTCTAGTCTTGCCTTCTTGTCCACTTGCTGCCTTTGGACTTGAGCTCTTTTAAGATTCTCGCTCTATTTTCTGAGCTACTGATGAGCCATTCCCATCTTTAATGGCTTTACTCATATCCATGCAAACCTCAAAACACACAGATTTAACAAGGACAAATGGGGAAGTCTGCAGTGCTGGAGGGAAGACTTTTCTGGCTCCCAGGCCCTGAACCCCCTCCCTCTGCCTGTCCCCTCCCGCTCCACTTCTCTGCTCCCTCCGACCCTGTGAGTCTGGGCTGAATTCAATTATTCCTCGCACTCTCATTACAGTCTGACCAAGATTTATGAGTTGATAATTGTCTGAAAGTAAGACCACAAAGTATCATTTGTGTTTGGGGCTAACCTTCCCGGTGACCTTTAGGATTAAAGGCAAAATGAAAAGTGTGATTTCTGCAGAGCCAAACAGGGTAACGTGATCCAAACCGGCTAATAATCCAAAGCCTCGGATTTCCCTGGTTGAGGACATATTAAAGCTGGGCACAAAGGTGGACAACTAATCCTGCAGGTTCATTTCACAAATTAATTTTTTTAAGGCATCACAACCTCCCTCCCTCACTTTGGGGTGCATTCTGAGTGACGTTTTCCAAACAGGATGATGACAACAGCTCACACCTCTGAGGCCTTTATTGGATTATTTTTACAGGCCATTTAAAAACACTTTTTTGAGAGGTCCTAATTGAAAACAGACCTCTCCCCTTGCTTGGGTTAGCGAACAGAGCATCACTGGGAGTGAGAGGAAAATGAATTCATGGAAACCTTCCCAGATCGGTGGGTGAGACTTGACACTCACTTCCTTGAAGCACAGCACACGCACAGTAATGGCCCTTCCTGATAGCTCTTCCTCTCGTGCACCAGCTATTCAGAGACAAAACTGCAAAGAAAACACTCACTCCTCGAGACTCAATATAAAGCTTCCAGCCAGCCTGAAACATTTGTGAGGCATTTGTGGTTCCCTGTTGGGAGTGTGTAATACTGTGTCATTCTGAGTTAGAAGGCCACTTCCTAAGGGAAGAGGGGCTGTTGGCCTGTGTCCCATGCAGTGAATCATAAAATGAAAAGGCCTAGTAAATATGAAACTGTGATAATGTCTTCCCTCTGCTCAGGCGGCCTCGATTTTTAGTTCAATACATGTCTATTGCACCAAGCACTGTGCTGGGTCCTCTGAAAAAAAAAAATCCTGTAAAACCTCAAGGAGCTCACAGGCTGGAATGTTCTTTCATAGGGAAGCCAGGACCCAGAGCTGTGCTCAAGCTGGGCTACAGGGGCTGGACCAGGGGCTGGGGTTGGGCATAGCTTGGGCTGACTTGCAGTTGCTGGCCTTGAAGAAAGGAGAAGCAAAGTCATTGTGATTGGAGGAAGGAGATTCAGGGAGCAAGTATAGCTCTTAGTATCAGTTCCAATGGGTTGGATACACGAAAGAGGGAGTAAAAACTGGACTGGGGCTTCAAGAGTGTGGGGACTATATTTGTATTTCCTCCCAGTGTATTCACAGTGCATCTGGTTCACCAAAGGTAAGATCAACCATTGCTTAACTCAACAAACTGCTTTCTCCCTTTATAGGCAATTGTGGTGATATCTCTAGATGCATATATTATTTTGCACCAACTATTTGAGCATTGCCTGGGAAACATGTATTTATTCCACATTGAAGTATTTCTTCATGTATTGTTTGCCTTCTCTATGACATCTTAAACGAGCCCAACACACATGTGTACCTGTACCGCATAGCAGGTACAACCACAGGCTCCTCTGGAGTTAGGCTGCCTGCTGCATCTGTAAAATGGAGCTGTCAGTAGTGAGATCAACTACGTAAAGCACTTAAAAATGTACCTGGTCTATGTTACATGCTCAATAAACGAGCAATTATCGTGATTAGTCACTAGTACATGTGAGCAGTGTAGGTCTCACGGATATCTGTGACACATTCCAAAACCCTCTTCACTTGTTCCTGACCTATTCTTTTTTTAAAACAGGACCTGACCCCAGCCCTGTTCTGATCTGCACCTCCTTTGTGAAGTCTGCCTTCGGTTCCTTTGGTCTGGTGTTAGGACTTTACCTCTTACGTGTCCGGCTTTCAGCTCTCTGTAAATATTGGCTTGGCCTATTCCTGTATTTCTTACCATTCCAGATGGCTTCAAGTAAGCTGTCAATTCGCATCTGGCCTCTTGAATTGCCACCTGCAATCCCTATTCTGACACTAGTGCACTGGTCAGCCCTCTGTCCAAGTGAGGTCCACCCAGTGGTGCACTGGAGTGGATTGCAATTGCCCATGAGAGCTATCTGTTAAAAGTTGAAGAGATTTTGTAAGCTGGTTGTCAAACATAGCCATTATTAAAAATTAAATGGTATCGATTCTCAATTAAATAAAATATATTTTAAACAGAGTTAATAAATACACAAAAACCATTGGCTCCAAATTATTTTATTTTATTTTGAGACAGAGTCTCGCTCTGTCACCAGGCTGGAGTCAGTGGTGTGGTCTTGGCTCACTGCAACCTATGCCACCCAGGTTCAAGCAATCCTCCTGCCTCAGCCTCTCGAGTAGCTGGGACTACAGGCACACACCATCATGCCTGGCTAATTTTTATATTTTTAGTAGAGACAGGGTTTCACCATGTTGGCCAGGCTGTTCTCAAATTCCTGACCTTGTGATCCTCCCGCCTCGGACTCCCAGAGTGCTACAATTACAGGTGTGAGCCACCACGCCCAGACCGTTTTATTTTACCAGGAACTATACTCTGGGGGTGATTTTATCGATGTGTGGCAGAAGGACTATGGAATAGCGAGCTACTTGTGCATCTCTTCTGTTCCGTGTGGTCATGTTGGCAGCTTGAAATTTATCAAGTGGGAAGCATTTACATCAAAGAAATTGGTAAGAGCTGCAAATTAGGGCTTCTCCTGAACAGCTGTTTATTAAACACTGACCAGAACACCCCCGGTTCAGCTCTCCCAATGTGGCATAGGAGGCTGCTCAGGCTTCAGACAAACACAGTGGCTGCAATTAGTGGTGTAGCAGAGTGTCCCTTACTGGAATGTGACCAGGTTGAGGGTGGTCATTCATTTTGGGTCCAAACTTCCTCTTTCTCTATGCTGCCCTGTCCTCAGCCTATTTGTAGAATAAAACTTTGGATGTGAATTTACAAAGAAAATGGCTTCTGGTAACATCTGCCAAGATCCCTTTCTGGGGATCTTAACAGCGTGACAGGTAGAGAAAGGTGAACGACAGGGAAGACTGTCGTCCCATCCTCACTACTGGAACTGGAGGGAGCTGGTGTTTGGTTGGGGCAGAGTTTTCCAGGACACGTAGGGACTAATCTACACCCACACATCTTGTGCCAGGCAATTTCCATCAGCAAGAATTATCTTTTTGAAATGGAGTAGGGGCGAGAGAGAGAGAAAAAAAAAAGAGAGAAAGAGAGAGAGTGTGTGTGTTAGTTGTGTAGACAGAAAAAAGACTCATATTGTTGGACTGTAGAAGGGAGAAGGTCAAGGGAGGATAGACTAGCTGTTTAAATATTGCTTAAGGATGCTAAACACATCTTGAAGTTAGAGTTTTTGGTGATCAGACTATCAGTATAAATGTTTGCATTTAAAGCTTTTGCCTGATGCCTGCATTGGAATGTCTAAATAGTGCACACCAGCTCCTTGTAACTGGAAATAATAAATAATAATAATAATAATAAGTAGCCCTGGGTTTGGTGCATTCATAAATTTCATATAATGATAACTAGTTAACACTTTTCAAAAGGTCCAAGGAAACAGCCAGGATGACCCTTCACATTTAAAGCTCAGCTTCCCACATTTTATAATTAAACTGCCTTCCAGGTGACTTATGACCTGGGGTTTTTCTTTTTTCCTTAGACTGCCTTGGCATCTTGTAGGGCTTGACTGTTAACCTGGGTGTCTGCCTTTTGGGAATAATCCCGAGTTCTGGAGAATAAAAAGCCATCGCTTGTGGTTATGCAAAAGCAGACTTTCAAATGGGAGACTCTGGCCACCTCACTCCCCAGTAACCTGAGCCACATCATTAGGAACAGCTCTGTTAGGAATGTCGCAGGCTGAAGTTTGTGACTTTGGGCACATTAAGACACCAGCAGAGATGAAACTGCTCTTCAGTTGGAAAGTTGTCTTCTAACATGCAGTTTGGGACAACTGGGATCTTTAGGGCAATCGAACTGAATTTGTTTAAAAAATTGCCTCAAGCATGCTGTTGGCTTTATTTCTAAAATAGTCAATTGAATCATGTAGCTACAGACTGTGGACACATGTCCTATGCCTGTAGGTTTCCTTGCTAAGTCAGAACCAGGCACTAAAGTACCTTAATGAAAATTAATGCACATTTACTGTTATTTCTGTTTAAAATAATAATGATGCAAGCAAACGTGATTTTATGTATTATATATATTATATACTTATTATGGTACATTGCTATAAGCCAGGCAGCCCGGCATACTCTAAAAATTTAATATGTATAATATCATTTAGTCCTACATAAGCTGAGTGTTGTTACTATCATTCTCATTTTGCTTTTTTTTTGCGACAGAGTCTTGCTCTGTCACCCAGCCTGGAGTGCAGTGGCGCAATCTCTGCTCACTGCAGCCTCCACCTCCTGAGTTTAAGCCATTCTCATGTCTCAGCCTCCTGACTAGCTGAGTAGCTCAGCCTCCCGAGCAGCTGGGATTATAGGTCCCTCCCACCATGCCTGGCTAACTTTTGTATTTTTAGTAGAGATGGGGTTGCACCATGTTACCCAGACTGGTCATGATCATTTTCATTTTTATCAGGGAGGAAAACGGAGGCTTAGTGACGTTGAGTAACTCACCCAAGATCACACAGCTACTAGGTAGCTAAGTCAGACTTGAAACCATGGCAGGGTGGTGAGGGAAGAGGGTAGATGTGGAAGGAGAAGCAGAAGATACCCAGCACAAAGTACATTGCCTATAAGAAGAGCAGACACCGTTTTCAGGAAACTTGTGTTTCAATTATACGTATATACATTTGTATGTATTGGGTTACTATATAAAATGTATTTCTTACTGTGGATAGCAGTAAAAAAAGTTTGAAGAACAATTTAAAAGCCAGCAGGGACTGACAGGGGTGAGGTTGTTTAAGGAGACAAGTGACTAGGCGACTAGATCACACTGCAGATGTGCCATATAGGGTGATCAGCTGACTGCTTTGTGTAAGTGGGTTGAAGATGGGTGTGGGACGGAACCAAGGTCAGGCAGGTGAGTTAGGAATGGCTGTAGTTGTCCAAATGGTGGTTGTTTTCTTTCCAGTCACGGGAATATTGTCTGCTGTACATTTAAAAATTCTGGCCTATTCCAGGCTGGGTGTGGTGGCTCATGCCTGTGATCCCAGCACTTTGGGTGGCCAAGGCAGGTAGATTACCTGAGGTCAGGAGTTTGAGACCAGCCTGGCCATCATGGCAATACACCATCTCTACTAAAAATACAAAAATGAACTGGGTATGGTTGTGTGCACCTGTAGACTCAGCTGCTTGGGAGGCTGAGGCAAGAGAATTGCTTGAACCTAGGAGGCAGAGTTTGCAATGAGCTGAGATCGAGCCTTTCCACTACTCCAGCTTGGGTGACAAAGTGACACTCTGTCTCAAGAAAGAAAAATATCTGGCCTACTCTGTTCTGCTGAGAGGCAGGATGGCATGAGGAACGAGCATGAACCCCAACCAGGTGGTGCTGGGCAAGGTCTCTAGCTTCTGCCTGTCTTAGCTTCCTCATCTGCACGATGGGGATAATAATCGTACCTGCTTGTGGGCTTATTGTGAAGACTAATTAGGTCTGAACATTTAAGTCCCTAGACCAGGCTCACTACACGTTGCCTAATATAATTTTGAGATTGACAGGAATATGGCCGTGTTACAATTATGGATTCATCTATTTGTTGCCTATTCAGAAGCTATTTACTGAATGCCCATAGTGAGCCTGGAATTGTGCCAGGCCGGGAGATACAGGTCAATGGAGGAGACAAATGGTGATGCTATAACAATAATAAAAATAAAATAATCATAAGGACCACTGACATTTGTGTAGGGTGACTAGATTGTTAGCTCCATGAGGACGTGGATTTTTGCTTGCTGTTTTCATTCATTGCTCTAGTTTTAGCAATCAGAGCAGTGCCTGGCACATGGTAAACATTTATTGTTAGATAAATATGCCAGCCACTATTCTAAACAGATGTATATGTAACAATCACCCCATTTCACAATGACCCTATGCGGTACAGACTGTTATATTCCTATTGTGGAACTGAGATAGGTGAGCCCAAAGTCACTCATTCAGTAAGAGCTGACCCACAGCAGCTGATGGCCAAGGTTCCTGCTCCATGCAGAAGAGATACTGCCTTAAATACCTGAGGATGTCCTGTGACACCCTGTTTAGGGCACAGCTGTTACACAGAAGGGCTCTACTGTGTGTTACTGTGTTTGGATCTGAGCTACAGCAATTGGGGAGGATCCCAACACACAGTTCCACTCTGGGTTGTCTGCCTTTGAGACAAAATAAACATCTCAGGGCTATCTTTTTGTACACACCTGCTTTCCAAAGCACTCCAATCCATCAAATGATGTATCAGGCATTTACCATGCACCCTGCACTGTGTCAAAAGCTGTGGGAGAATGGGAAAATGAGATGGAGCTTGTGCTTTCCAATTCCACAGAATCTATCTGAGGAGAAAGGGCTTGCCTGCAAGGGGAGACTACGAAAGACATTAGGGGCTTTGTGAAGAGCTGTAGGAGCTCCGAAGTGGAGGGGCCAGGGCCACCTGGGGGGTAGGTGAAGGTCTGAGACAGAGCTTGGAATCGTACATCTCGCATGGGGCCAAGATACGCATGAGGCTGGGGGCGGTGGCTCACGCCTGTAATCCCAGCACTTTGGGAGGCCAAAGCAGGTGGATCACGAGGTCCAGAGTTCAAGATCAGCCTGGCCAACATGGTGAAACTCTATCTCTACTAAAAATACAAAGTAGCTGGGTGTGGTGGCTCATGCCTGTAATCCCAGCTACTTGGGAGGCTGAGGGAGGGGAATTGCTTGAACCGGGACCCACAAGGCGGAGGCTGCAATGAGTCAAGATCGCACCACTGCACTCCAGCCTGGGCTGCAGAGCAAGACTCCATCTCAAAAAAGAAAAAAAAAGAGATGCACAAAACCCCCTCTCTACACAACCTCATTGAGCAGCTGCCTGTTCTCCTCCTAGCCACTGGTTTCCACTGCCCAGGGATCCTCATGTCATCTCTGCAGGCTTTGCTTCCTCTAAAGTTCTTTCTTACCAGCTGCAGCCTGCTCTCTGGTAGGTTTTGGTTGACAGGATGACTTAGAAAGGGAATGGAGAAAGAGAAGCTGGCAGGGAGGTAGAAGGCTGGAGGGGCAGCAGCGTTTGATGGCAGTGAACCCTCATTGACTGAAGAGTGGATTTCCCGGATGATAGCAAATGTGAGCTAATGTCTGCGCTAAGCCATGTGTCTTTGAAAAAGAACTGTTAAGGATGTTTTCCCTTCTTATTACACTCACTAATGTCCTCACCAAAATAACAAGTCCTGAAGGCTTGCATCTGCTGGGAAACTGTATCCTCTGCGACCGCGTTCTGATGGAAGTTCATCTGGAGTTTGCCCTGCGCTGGGGAAGCCTGCCTCGTCTCAATTCTTTGTGTTTTTCCTGGACAAAGGAGAGAACTGTGTTTGCTCCTTTATAAGTCTGAGAAGCCCCCTTCATGGGTCAGGCCCCAGCTTGACACTTTGCTGGGTGGGGGACTCACCTGAGATGTCTTCTCCTCCTGTGAACCCTGGGAAGCCCCAGCTGTGCCGAGAGCAAGTTGCTGAGTGGTTTGTTTTGGTTCATGGAGCTGACCCACCAGTCA